GATGGAGGGAGAAAAAAAGTACCATAAACAGTGTTTCAAAAAGCGCTAGGCGGGTCCTAGGTGGCCTAGGGGGTCCAGGCCGCCTAGCTCCTGGGCGGGTGCCCAGAACCTGGGCGGCCCAGTCGAATCCAAAAAGGATGCCCAGTCACAGATGCTTCTAAGGACTCAAAATCTTTTAAAAAACCCTAACAGATTTATAAAACATAAAAAATTCAATCTACTATCAATGAGTGATTTTTTATCAATTTTTGTCAACTTTGAAAAAAAAAAAATCCTCTGGGCGGGGCGAAGGCATGGGCGACCACCCTGGGCTGGGCGCTAGGCGGTCGCCTTGAAACTGCGGCCCAGATTGGCCGCCTAGGCCTGGGCGATGCGCCCAGGCCTTTTGGACCTCCTAGGCAGCTGCCTAAGCGCTAGGTGGTCCACTTTTTGAATCACTGACCATAAATGTAATGTAGAGAGTGCAATAAATGCAGTGGAGAGAGAACAAAACTGTAGAGATTGTATTGAAGAGAGAATGCCATTAATGTGATGGAGAGAGAGAGGTGTGAGTGAATGTGGAGAGAGAGAGCCATAAATGAGATGGAGAGAGAGTGTCATAGAAGTGATAGCAAGAAAGTTCAATAAATGTGATGGAGAGGGAGAAGGATGTGCGTTGAGGAGAGAGAGGACACAAGCTATAGATGATAAAGAGAGTGTCATTAATGTGATGGAGCGTAATGAAGAGAGGGTGCATGGAGAGAGCCATAAACGAGATGGAGAGTGTGTGTGACAATTAAGATTAGCTTTTCTTTCTCTCAATGTTTTTTTTTTGCTTGCTTTAAAGCAAAGGTGCCCACATAGGTGGAATTTGGGAGCCTAGCGAGGCTCCATAGTACATGCCCGAATAGGGTCCCGCCTAGGGCCCATTCAATTTGGAAGGCGCCAGGCCCTAAGATTGCTTTAACGAGGTAGGAAATTGGCACCTCATCTCATTGCCTCTCCAGTAAATCAAAATTTCAAACCATATCTCCAATTTTAGTACCTTAATATTGGACCACCCGACCCCCCTCCCTCCGCGACATCATTTTTGCAGTTAGCTTAGTCAGCTAATGCATGTGATGCACTAGCCAATTGCATCCAACCCTAGTTAAAATCATCTCTCGAAATACTTTTGTGCCACAATTATCACATCGATGCCCTCTCTATTGTTGGGGTTTTGTGGCCATTAACATGCCTTATGAGAGCATGTAAAACTATGACTATAGTGATATGATGACTCTCGTAGGACCGTGGGGGTATGTATTGAGATGCCATGACTCAAATGGGGCTTAACGGGCTAGGCCCGAGATGATGTCTAAAATCATACAGCCTAGAGCAGAAGGCACAACCGTTGAGCGTTTGTAGTGAAAGAAAATTTGGCCGTCTAGCCACCGAAGTGGTCGAGACAGCCTTCCAAACCAAAGAGGCCCTAGGCGAGGTTCTATTTCGGCATGTACCTTGGCGTCGGTGTAGGCACCTAAATCAAGAAGAAGAAAAAGAAGAAAAAATGAGAAAGAAAAACCCATCCTATTTATCTCACACTCTCTCCATTGCATTTATGGCACTCTCCCTCTCTTCATTGCACTCTCTCACTCTCTCTCCATCACGTTTATGGCACTCTATTCATCATCTACAGTTGTTCTCTCTCCCCCCCAAACACACCCTTCTCTCTCCAGTCTCCATCACATTCATGGCACTCTTTCTCCATCACTTTTATGGCACTTTCCTCTCTTGCCCAGCACACACATCTCTCTCTCCATCACATTTATTTTTATTGTGCTCTCTCTCCCCTCCATCACATTTATGGCAATTTCTGTCTCCATTACATAATTCACATTTATGGCACTCTCTCTCTCTCACACGCTCTTCCTCTGCAATTTGTGTCCTCTCTATCTCTATCCCCACCCCCCAACACACATTCTTTTGTCTCCATTGCACTTACTGCAATCTCTCAATCACATTTGTGGCACTCTCTCTCTCTCCCGCCTTTGCATTTATGGTTCCCCAACCACACCCCACCCCCCCACAACCCAAAAAAAAAAAAAAACCCACACTTTAGGGTCGCCCAGGTGTCTAGGCACCCGCCCTACCACCTAAGTGGCTGAGTCCGCCTTTTGGAGTATTGCTCCGAAGCAAGTAAGGTATTGATTAATTATATCAACTTTATGTAAGCTGGTGTTGGTGTGGTTGAAAGCACTTCTTAAAGGTATGGGTTTTCCTCCTGAAGGGGTCTCTCCACTCTATTGTGATAATCAAACTGCCAACTATATGGCACCCAAACAAGTATTCCACAAGGGCACTAAACACATTGAAATTGTGCCACCATGTGTGGGACAAGTAACTTTAAAGAATTATCTCCAGTCTCTACTCTTATGTGAGATCCTCTGAACAACTTGGATACTAGTTTAGTAAAGGTGTTGGGTGGGGAAAATTGCCAGTTGGGCATTCATGACATTCATGTACTGACTTGGGGGAAGCGCTAGATAGATGTTACTCATAAGGGCACATTTATCCCTCATGTTGTACTATGCTTTTGTTATATTCATCTACAGCCTATATAAGGATTCTAAGGTAAAATGTAATAAGTCATGGGACAATTTTGTAAATGCTATAATACATGGAATATATGATATGGAGTTGGAATGATAGTCATTCCCTTTTTTGTGTCTTGTTTATCTCCTTAAACATTGATGTGACTAGCGCCAATTCAAACCTTTCCCTTGAAAACGACGTTTGCGCATGGACCAACATTGACTCCAAAAATTGTTTAATATGGTGTTATGATTATCAGACTGGGCAGCTTGATAGTTTGCATGAGAATCTATCGACTGGTTGAGCTGAACCTTAGGACAAAACATGCCAATTAATAGGATAAAACCAGTTCACTTGGGCCTAAAATTCCAACCACAAAATCAAAGCATATATGAGTATCTATCTCCTCATAACTGTCACTTCTCACATGGCATCAAACTAATAACTTCATCAAATTTCACTATTATTCAAGTGTAACTCTTCATAAGTTGGTCATCAAGAATGAAACGCTTTTAAGTGTCACTAGACTGGGCAGCTTGATGGTTTGCATGAGAATCCATCTACTGATCCAGCTAACTCTTGGGCCAAAACATGCCAAATAATAGGATCAAACCAGTTCAATTGGGGCCTAAAAGTCCAACGACAAAATCACAGCATATATGAGTATCTATCTCCTCACAAGTGTCCCTCTTAATATGGCACACAAACTACGAAAGTCATCCTATTTTACTATGATCTTTTTTTTTTGATAAAAAACAACGATGAGATTCCAAGTGTAACTCTTCATGAGTGGGTCATCAAGTATCAGCATAAGGGCCCTATACCATTGTATCCTTACCAGCATGATATGTTTGCATAGGTGATTTCAGAAGCTCAAATAATTCCCAAGCTAGAAGTTTCTTCATGGTAGAAAACATCATCGTGGTGTGATGGATACAATCTCAGCATGCCATCCTCTATGTGTGGATGTTGTTGCAGTTCAAAACCACTCAATTGTCAACAGTTTTCCTTGACAATTGGAACATATAGAGTTCAAGTCCATGGATTATCTCAAAGCAGTTTTTAGTTAAAGATTCCAACAAATCAGATTCCCTCTACCTCAGGTGTCTTCCGAAATATTGTTCATCAGCCGAAGCTCTTATATAAACTACAGAATTCCATTTCTGTATAAATGGATTTATCTCGATCGAGAAATTATTGATATTGGAAACAAATTCAGTATCATCAGGAAATAGAGAACTCACAGTTATCATGATTGAGGCCGGGGTCAGATTCTGAATTGGGATTGAGACCATGGGATGGAGAGATGCATGATGATCCATGGGATAGCAATCGAGATCCACACACTTTTGAGTTTAAGGGATCCTGATCCCGATATGTAGAGAGCATGATCGGAATTTGTCCAGAATCGAATGATAAACTATAAGGAATCGAGGTCCGTCTAGCATAGAATCAAGACTCCGCAAGAGCATTTAACTAGGGTATATAGCTCGAGAACAAAGTCCGTTGAAAGATATGATAAATGTTTTTTTTCTGAATTCAAAAACCAAAATACCATTAAATTTTAAAATGTTCTTTAATTTTTTTTGTTATCATTGGAGTATGTTTCATAAGTGAGGAGTGAAACTGAAAATCCAAAATGAGGATTCAAATTTCAGCCCTCAGGCATGAAAGAAACCGTAGTGTTGATCATCAGTATCAACGTAAAAGAAACTCGATTCCACATTGGATGCTCATTCCAGTTACAGATGTAGGCCATGATTAGGATAAGAGGGATACAGATCCCATTAAGCAGGATGTGGATCCTCAATTTTGTGGATGGAGATCCCTAAATTCAAAAAACGTCTGGAATTGAGATCCCTTGTTCCAGAGCGCAGAATCGAGCTTTCGAGCTGGAGTGGCCACCTTCTTGGGAGATCATCAAATGTTTGCAACTTTGCATCACAACCAGTTAAGAGTGCTCAAAATCTAATGGTTACCCCATAGCAGTTTAACACCACGTGCAGTATGGTCCATGGTCCAAGTTTCATATGTCTTAACAAGAGAAATGAAAGATCCAAGTACTTGTGTATCTATCCACATCGTGGAACACAAAATCAGCACTACTTTAATACTATATTTTTAATAGATTTTAATAATTATTTTTGGGTATTTTTATTGTTTTTCAACTTAATTTTAGATATTTTTATGAGCAGTACTTCAATAATTGTTTTAAAAATATGAATTTGAATGTCACACAATTCAAAGGAAGCATGTAAAAATTTCAATAATGACCTATCATTATGGGGGATCAAAAGCATTTCTTACAACAAATACCTTGGAGGTAGAGATATGAATCAAACAATCTAGTGTATGTTAGTTCGTGTGTGTGTATGTGTGTGTGTGAGAGAGAGAAAGAGAGAGTGAGAGAATCGGTAAAGACAACTTCAAAAGAATCAATAACTTACTTTTGCTTTAATTTGCTCAAGAAGAATGTAGCAAACGGTATATCCACGAGAATACCCTCAAACATGGCCTACAAAACCACAAGCAAGTATGAAATTCACTGATGTTTGCTACATCGACGAGAATACCTCAAACATGGCCTACAAAACCCAAAAGCAAGTATGAAATTCACTGATACAAACCCATGAATAAATCAATGTTTGTATGTACATCTTTACTTTATTGAGCAATTGAGCAAAAAGAAATATGCTAAGCTAGTTCAATCATGTGCATCAAGACAGGAGGTATCTTCGAATTTGATAACTGTTGCACTATGGGCAGTGGAAGATAAGATAAAGCACATCAGTTGTGGAGATTAATAACAGCAAGACAATACAAATATATGCAGAACAGAGCATTGATGGCCAAGATTAGACAGAAAATAGGGCTGGAAATTCAATAGATTCAATAGAAAAGAAGCTCAAGATGCTTCAATGAAAAGACTAATAAGCCAAAACTACAAAGTTTTAAATAGCGATTCTTAATCCTAAATTATAATAGAACACTGAATTACTCATACTAATTCAAAAACTCCAAACAATTATAATAAAACACCAAACTACCCCTAATAATTTCTAAATTCCAAACAATTCTAAAAATCAGAAATGCCCCTGTGAACAGTAACACATGAACATTAATCCATGAAAGAGTAACCCCATGAACACCAATAAATAAATAAAACAGAGATTAAGTGCTGGAGATGACATTAGCAGTACTGCATCAACCCCCCCAGTTATAAGAAGAACTCGCCCTTGAGTTCCAATCGATATATTGGTTCCAGCTGTTAGAATCTACCCTTTGGAACTCTGTCTCCAAAATCCATGAATCTTTTGCTTCAGACTTATCTTTCCAGTACAAAAGATACTGTCTATATGATCCACACCACATGGTAAAGTCCTCGTATCGCGCACAACATCAATTACTCAGCATCCAATTCTGGCAACTGCACCTACCAATCAAACTCCATCTCTTCATTTTTTTTACCATAATAATCACATAGATCAACAATGCTAAATTTTGGTAAAATATCATGACCTGCCAGAAGCTCTACTTTATATGCAAACTCTCTCAATATCTTCAGAACCCGAGAAGCCTGAATGCACCTAAACTTTAGCATATAGTACTACCCACAAGGAAAATCTTTCCTTTCGTAGATCATAACTAAATCACCTTTATTGAAGTCTTTTTGAGACCTATGTTGATCATACTGTCTTTGCAATGTGTTTTGTTCCGCTTAAGCCTTTTGTCACCTCTGACTGGATGTCTTGAATGTACTTAGCCCAAGCCTCTGCATCATCAATAACTCATTCCACAGTAGGCAAACTCACCAAATCAATATCTCATTCCACATTAGGCAAACTCACCAAACCCGAAACTTGTTTCAGATTTATGTCATAAATCACTTCATAAGGTGAAAGCCCTGTGTCTCTATTTCTGGCGCTGTTATACATGAACTTAGCGTGAGGTAAGAACAAATCCCACTGCTGCGCTTATCCTTTTGCCAAACAATGCAAAAGATTGCCTAAACTTCTATTAACTACCTCCATCTGACCATCTGTTGAAGGATGGTACGCACTGCCAAACAGCAGTTTTGTCCCCATCTTTCACCATAAGGTCCTCCGAAAGTGGCGAATAAAGCGTGTATCTCAATCTGAAGTGATGGTTTTCGGAACACTGTGAAGCCGAACAACATCTCTAAAACACGACTGGTTGCCTGCATAGCATCCAAACTGCTTCAGCAAGCTATAAAATGCATCGTCTTCGAGATAACGATCAACTCCTATGAAGACAAAGTCTGTTCCCTGGCTGTTCATAACTATAGTTACCTGAATCGTGTACCGAGGTCCCGATTCTGGTTAGGAATTGCGATTTCGTGTTTCCCACGATGAATCACGAATCACGGAAGATAGGAATCATGATTCCAAATTTCTCGAAACTTGTTCCAAATATTTTTTGACCTTCATTCCTGGAAGCTTGGAATCCAGATTCCATCAGACAGAATTTGCAATTCATAGGTGCACACATTGGGATTCAACATATATGAGACCTTGATCCTAATTTTTAGGAATAGCAAATCAATATTTTTTTAGAAGCTAGATCCACATTGTCAAAATGCGCGGCTCATAAATCCACTGAACATTGTTTCGATCAATATGGAGTGAAGTTTCAAATTTGAGGAATATTTGAATTTTTAAATCTGCATATTTTCTATCCACATACTTAAATTTCCTAGCACGCTTTAACGACACGATTTACATATCAAAAAATTTATAGAATGCTTAGAATATTTCAAATATTAATTGAAAAATTTTGGTTACGTCAATTTTATTAGTAGATAGTATTACTATAAGATTTCTCATGAACTATGCTACATATTTGAAATGAGTCCAGGGACTCTCTATACTCACTAGCATATACTTAGTATTTGATATTTAAAAAAGTACATTGATAAAGTTTATCTAAATTAATGTTGATAGTCAGATAGTATTACTTTAAAAATTTTCATGGACAATGCTACATAATTGAAATGAGTAGATAGCCTAAAAACTCATCAACATCAGTATTAATAAAAGATTTCTCATGGACTATGAAATTGTTACCATTAGTGGTAACAAGCACAAGTATACAAGCCCTTAAAATTGACCTGTCATATTCGGAAACACGACCCATCTTTGAGGAGTCGTGATCCCCCATCGATAGGGATCGAAATCCTTTGTAGTCAAGGATCGAGATCCATTTAGATTAGGAACCGGGGTCCCAATAGGTAGGAAACAAGATCCCCTTATGGGAGGAAGTAAGAACTGCTCAGGCTCTCTCAAATCGCCCTATCGAGATTCCAAGAGGGGAACGCTACCCCTTCACCAAAATCCCTGAAACTAACAAGTCCCCCGGTTTAAAATTACAGATTTGTTGCTCTAGTTCATAAGTCTTTGCAATATTTTCCTTTTGGGAATAAGCCGCAGAAACTGCATCCCACAATTCCTTGGAGGTATTGTAGTTCATAAAAGTTCTACTCGGATTAGGCAGCATAGAATAGAATAACCAACTCATAATTCCCATATAATTGTTGGGTTTTTGTGGCCAATTAAAGACCTTACGAGAGCATGTAATGAATTATATGATAGTGGAACAATGAACTCCAATGGAAATATGGTCCAGAGGGATCGAAGTTCGCAATTATGATGCCGAGACTCAAACAAGGCTTGACGAGGTAGGCCGACTTGAGTTGTAAAACCCTACGATACCTGGGCATATAACACAACCGCGAACGGTTAACAGGTTACCCCTTGATGAGGTTGGAGAGATACCCAAGGTAGTTAGCCAATGGACTTCCCTTGTGTGTGCTTGGTAGGCCTGAAGGGACAAGGGTCACTAATAGAGATAGAGTGCCTCAGTATTTTTGCATTTTCCTTAACAGAAGTTGAATCCAATTCCCATCCAATCAATTTAACAAATAATTAATTTGGTTAAAAATGATTTTTGAATAATAAAATAAATTTTTTAGAAGTCTCTGGATATTTTATTTCTTCAAAATTGATTTTTAAATAAGCTAAATTGAAATTTTATGGTATTTAAATATTCAGAGAAAAAATAAAGTAATTATATTTTTCAAAAAATCCTTTTTAGAATTCTAAAATTATTAAAATATATGGGGGCCCATTACACTCTATGAGTCCCACCTTTCTAGCCTTTTTTATGAGGGTATGGGACCGACAAGTTCCTCTACGGGTGGCACGCCCCACTTCTCTCCCCCCTCTTTCTATTTGTGTTGGCTTGTGTCATAAGCCATTCAATTGATTGAAACAAGATAGGAAATTTTCTAATAGAGGCTAATTGACTTTACAAAAGAAGCACAAAGATTTATTGAAAATGAAAGGCAAGTACACTATATTTTCTCTACACTAAATATTTGATGGGATTAGGTTAAGGAAACTGAGAGATAAGGTTCTAACACCTTCCATTAGAACATGATGGCCGATCTATGGACTGTATGGCTAAGATCTATCACCCTACAGGTCACCTTTGATCAAGGATCTGGATCAAATCTCCATAAAGATGGTTAAATCTTAGAAACCCTAACCCTAGCTAAAGATTTATAAAATATCTCATTAGAGGTCATCTCTATACACCATAACCTAGATCTCTCTCTCTCTCCGCAACGTGGCATGCCACCCTCTCTCTCATCTCTATATCTTCCTCTCTCCATTTCTCATAGCCTCTCTAAGAAACAAAGGGGCATGCCCCGAGCCATTTTGGTAGAGACAGAGGGGCATGCCCCACACATAGAGAAAACAAGAGAGAGGTTGTTTTGTTCCACTTGCTCTCATATCCATAGAAGGGTTTCTAGCCAAAGTTTCTCATCTTTGTAAAATCTAAGAAAGACATTGATCCCGTACGCCATCAGGGTAGGAGACCCAGTGTGGGTTGCAAAGTCCAATTGAGGTAATCTTTTGGCATTTTATTTATTTTACTTCATTCTTATGTTTCTTGTTCCCAAGTTCAAGTTTTATGTAATTTTTGGTTATGCAATAAAAATTCGTTAAGTGGCAGCAAGTGAGAATCCAAAATTGAGTTTTATTTTATTTATTTGAGTTCTTATTGTAATCTTTGGATTTTTGTAAGTGTTCTAGCCGGCGTTGGTAAAGAAAAATTTTAAACTATATAGACCATGCTAGTTCGCATTGTCCACTTTCAATCATTAACCTCCCAATCTTCATATTTAGGATCCTTGAGATCTCGTTTTCCAAACGACCTTCAATGTATCACAATTCTTTCTTTCCACCAAGAAATAATCTAACAGATCTAGCCCATTCTAAATAATTTGTGCCATCAAATTTAATTGTGTTGATTCGGAGTCAAGATTGCCCCATATCTGAGATGTGGTTAAATCCTCAAATCTAATCAATTCAAAATATGTTATACCCTCATCTCACTTCCAAATCCAAAAAAATAAAAAAGATTAATAGATTTGTTATACACTCAAATCCAATCATACCAATTTTCTATTAAAAAAACATTAAAAACAACACTACCAATGTTTACTTGATTAGGGTACACAAACCCTAATCCATTCGTGATTTAGAGTTTCTATCAAACACATGACTACAACAAGAAACCACCAAAAGAATGCATCTTGATCAACACAATCATTGTTGGGAAAAGTATTAGGGCCTCAAGAAAAGCACTAGAGCTTCAGACCATTGAATGTGAAATTCGATGACTGCATTTATTCCATTGACTAAGCCCAAAGTCCAAAAGAAAAGTTCTCGAACTTTGTGACACACCCACACTATCAAATTTCACATCAAATGGTCATAAGTAATTGTGACCTCCTTGTACCAAAGATTAATGTTCTCATTGTATACAATCTTCTTAATTATTTCTGACACTGACCTCTTAAGGAATCAACATAACACAAAATTAGGATTACAGTGGAAGGGGAAAAGGGAAAATGGCGTTCTAAACTGTGATCATATATCGCAACACGAACAAGTTCCCATACTTAACAATATTACTTTACAATATTGTAAAACATAATCTCTTATAATATATTACTAACACATTTAAAAAAAAAAAATGTGGGAAGCTCATACACGCTCCCATGCATTGGAAATCTCTAGGATTAAGGACCAATTTCGCACGTTATTTGTAGTTTCCAGTACATTAAAAACCAAATAATGTCATACCTTCCCAAGGACATTTCCAAGAAATCGAAAGTATTCTAGATGGCTTCCATGGATCATTCCAGAAGCAGGATTTGGGAATAATAAGTGATCCACCGTTTCCTGTTCACAAACGAAAATTGCTATTATAATAATGAAAACAATGCAACACTCTGCTAACACCTCAAAGTTACTAACCACGAAAACTGACGATCCACATGATGAATATTTGTAATTTTATCAAAGACCATAAAGCCCTCTGCAGACTTCAATAATATAAGGGATACTAAAAGCATGCATCTTATTCAATGTTAACAGAGCTTCAGTGATGCAAAGGCGATGGAGGGAAGAAATAATTAAAATAAAAATAATAATAAAAGGTGAGAGAATATACCCTCTCCCTTTGTCTGCAAGGAAATCTACCCCAAAAAATCTTTTCACAAAATTAACTCTGTACTTAATCACCAAATCTCCTCTTTACAATGAGGGACTTCTTCCTTTTAAAATACACTTAAAAGAAAATAAATAAATAACTAAAAAAGAACCCATAAATAATAAACTCTCTAAAAAGTCACATACCATCTTTTTCCGTATATCTCTATCTCACGCCTATCTCCCTATTTCCTCTCTCACGTCTACCTCCCTGTTTTCTCTCACGTTTATCTCCCTATTTCCTCTCACGGGAATCTTTATCCCCTCCCAAATCATTCCTAAAAGATTAGTTCCTAATCTATTCCTCAAAATCCTCCCTCTTAACAACTCACGCACCAAAATCCTCCCTCCTCCCACTTAACTTATCCTGACGCAATTCCTATTCCTAAGAAATATAAACAAAAAAAGATAATAACACTAAATTTTGTATATTTCTAATTTCTTTCTGCGTCATTCAGCCAAATGCTACAATTTCAGGTTGCACAAAGAAGCCACACACCAAAGAAAATGAAGCATGGTAAAAAGAAGTGATGAACGAGCTTTGAAAAAAACACTTTGGTTTTAAAAAAACAAAAGAACAAAAAAAGCAGAATTTTGCTTTGAAATAACTGCCAAGTCAGGAAAGAATGTTTTCCATGGTCGAGTTTTTGAGATTACCATTTTTTCTGGTAAGTTCTAAAAAATTATCATAAATTGGAATTTTATCTATTTAATGGAAACCTTATATTCAGAAGAAGAAAAAACGGATTTCCATTGACCTATTCACAAAAAAGCAAACCTAATATTTTTGGGTTTCTTCAGTCGTAAGGATTGAAGGAGCTCCAAATGCAAACATAAGTTGTTAAAAAGCATGTATACTATGAAAACCACATTGGGGATTAATGAAGATAATGAGAATTACCATTCATCTCTTTGATTTTTATGTTTCCTGATAAATTGCTTCCAAAAATAATATAATTTTATTGTTTCAAATTTACATTAAATATAAATTGCTGAAATCTATTTTTAAGATTTTTCTAAAAAATTTCATATATTTGTTATCTAAGAGAATAGCCAGAGACTTCCCTTGAATCCACCAAAGGGCTAAACTGCTTTTCTTCCTAGTCAAACCAGATAGGTTTCCTAGATGAATTTGATAATGGTGACCTGATCAACCTATCAATTATTCAGAAACCACAACCTTGAGTATAAGTTTGAGCAGTTCCAAGATTTCCAAGAGATCATTGCCCACAGGTAAAGAATAGACAACTAAGTGTCAAAAGTAAAGCCATGGTAAAACAACATTAAGGGCATAGCTTATGACATACGACCTGGAATTATTTGCTTTCAAGGGCAATTTCAATTAAGGGAACTTTCAAACAAGTTCTTTCTAAATTGGGCAGAAAAGTACCCCAGTCCGAAATAGTAAGCATTTTTATACTGACCAACCACCTCTGGGCACAGTTCCCTTTGGCAAAGGTTCTGTTCGATGTACAAGGACATAGATGCACTTGTTTGTAGTATCTAAACAAATGAATTGTATATGACAAAACTCTTAAAAAGTTGATTGTCAGACATTACATGTCCATCTTATGTTCAGGTGTTGGTGGGTAAACATCTAGGTACAACATACTTGTAAATAAAAATGGTATTAATGTACTCCTTTAAATAGGATTAAAACTAATAGAATATTAGAAGTGTGTCCAATGTATGGAGACCCATGACTAGACAAGCACATCTAAAATTTTGGCCCCAAGTGTCTCAATCATGGATGTACTTGTCAAAAACTTCGACATGTGTTAATGGTCAACATGCAGAGGCTCATGAATCTAACAAAAAGAATATTCAAGACAAGCATGGCAACACATCCCTGATGTGACACTGGCATAATTTAACTGTTCCCAGGTATCTATGATGCAGAATTCGTGACAGACATGTCAAGACATGCCTAATATGCATGTCTTTGATTCATAGAATATATCGGACCACCCCAACAGTTGTGAGCATAATTTAGACGAACATTCACAATTACCATAAATCATGGGGGTGGCCATCAACGCCCCAACACGCTGCCTAGTTTGCACATTCTTGGGGCTGCGGGGTAGATTCTTTGCCCACTTCATATCTCGGCCTACCCATGTGTTTAGGGAAACCCAAAAAAAAACCTATGGAGACATATTATCGACAAGCTCAATCGCAAATTTGCAGGTTGAAAGGGCCGTTCTCTCTACAGCTGGAAAAGTAACGCTCATTAAGGCAACTCTATCGAACGTCCCCATTTATCAAATGTCCCTATTTCACATCCCGGCCGTGGTTGCAGCCCCCAAAGAAAAGTTAATGAGGCATTTTCTTTGGTCGGGGTATGGCGCAGCCAACAAATATCATCTAGTTGCTTGGGACAAGATGTGCAGGCCGAAAGGGTCAAGTGGTTTGGGCATCCGGAGCATAAGAGATTCCAATACTGCACTCCTATCCAAATGGTGGTGGCGTCTTGTCACTCTAGAGGGGCACCTTTGGCAGGAGGTTCTACACAGTAAATACTGCATTGATCCATCTAGATAGTTGCCCCATTGCCAAGCCAATAGCCTCTCCTTTGGCTTCCGGTGCTCCATTCTTAGCTGCTAGGACCTCTTCAAAACTCTCACAAGAATCCTCCCTAGAACCGGCAGTTCAACACTTTTTTGGTCTGACATTTGGGCTGGCCACACTCCCTTGAGGGGCGCTTTTCCCGACCTCTTCCTGCTTGCCATTGATAGAGAAGCTTCGGTCCTTGACCGCTTTCCCCAATCCAATCACAATCGATCTTGGTCACCCATTTTCAGACGCAACCTGCATGACCAAGAAGTAGAGTCTTTCCTTCAACTCGAAGCCCTTCTGCATTCCATCTACCTCCCTCTCACTGGCAGAGACAGACTCATTTGGTCATCCAACCCTTGGTCTCATTCACAATTTCTTCATGTTACTTGATTCACGTTCTCGCAATCCCCTTCAGGCTTTCCCCTCTTCGGCCAATGCATGGTTAATATTTATTCCACCAAAGCTGCAAGTTTTCAACTGGCTGACAATTTATCAAAGGCTGCACATTGTGAATCAATTACAAAAGCGAGGAATACCATTACCCAATCAATGTTCCATGTGCGTAAGTGCAGAAGAGACGAATGCACATCTTTTCCTTCATTGCTCTATCACCGAATATCTTTGGAGGCAAATCCTCCAACTTTGGCTGGGTTAGGGTCACCCCCAGTCTGTTCCAACCACTGTTGGAAAAACCAGGCGATCCAACTGCTAACCGCCCGGTTAGATCGGAATCGGCCACTGGCCGGTTCTGGTTTTGGGTGGTTTTGGTGATCAACTGATATTTAAAAAAATATTCAAAAAAATGTATATAAATTCTCAAAAGTAAGGAATTTGGTTTGTAATGCACTTTTTAATATTCTTTACATTATGGTAAAGATTAAAAATTGTTTTCGTCATTAATACTCACTTTAATTCAAAAATCGATTCATTAAAATCCATTTTTTTCATTAATTTTCAACTTCATTTGAATGTTTTTTTGTTAATCATTCTTTATATGCTTTCCATATTTTGTAGGTTTTTTTTGTATCTTTTTTATTCTTCAACAATTTTTTGACCGCCAGGGACCTACCCGGTTAGAACAGAAACCACTTCTGGGCCCATGTCCGGTTAACCGTTCCGGTTCGATTTTGCGAACACTGGTTCCAACTCTCTTCAACCTTTCGCAATAACTCCCCTAGCCTAAATTAGGGGTGAAACTGCTGCACCAATCCACCACTCCGAAGGTTGCTCGTGTCTCACTGTGGAGATCTCCAGAACCGGGCTTGATCAAATTAAACTTTGACGGTTGTCCCCTAGGAAACCCAAGACGAGCTAGGGTCGGAGAACCCTTCAAAGACCATTTCGGCTACACCATCTGCTCTCTCTCCAAACACATAAGTTTTAATGATAGTACAATAGCTGAGGCTAGTGCTTTACTCAAATACCTGAGGGCATATAGATCTGAGTGGGGCAACCAAATTGCCATTGAAGGAGATTCTAAATCTATTATCTCTTGGGCTTCGGTCTCTGCCGCTCAGCCCTGGAGGCTGGCTCACATTTTCGATGAGATCTTTGATATCATCAGCCAGATTTGATGAGATCTTCAAGATGGTTCAAGTGATAAAAATACCAAATTAAAAATTGGTTTACCAACAAGAGTCAATGGCATGCAGAAAAAGGATTCTAAAACATCCTTCAGATCTCTAAATCACTAGGCCTCTGGTTGTCTAAGTGAATATAAAACAATTCGTACATATCAATATGTAGCAAATTTGAACATGAAGACAGACACTCAACCCCAATGAAAAGCCCAATGAAAAATTCTGTATTGGTGCCATGCCCCATAGTGTTTGTTGCATCACATAGGAACATAGATGACTGTTGTACTCTAGGAGTTCTACAATTACCCAAGTGTTTATAGGTATATATAACAAAGAAATTACAAGGACACAAACATAAAATACACATTAGCATTTTGTGGTTCTACTATGTCTTCAATATTCCCCATCTAGATAGCACATGAACATCAGTCATGCCCAACATGAAAAATATAGTTTGCAACCTACTCTTTCATTAGCTTAGACAATGTGGGCTACCAGTAGGACTTTGCCTTCACATATGGTGTATTGGTAACTTGACATGCAATCGACTTCGACATGCATTTTTTATCTCTCTTTTTGTGATAACCATGCTTTTGTATTATTTGTGCTCATGACAGGCTCAATTGAAGGAAATATGTATGGCTTTTAGCTATTATCCATGACATAGATTACAGGAATTCATATGATAAATGTCCAATCCACAAGCAGCCTTTTCTTATCTTTGAACCCACAAAAGAGGTCCAAATAGATTCATGTGAAATGCGCACATCCCCCTTCTTATAAATCACACATGAGGGCATCCCTTTCAACAAATTTGACCAATCGTTTCTCAATAATGCAAGTCCTTCACTTCCATAACCCCTGTAGGAAAATGAGAAACCAAGCACTCGAGAGTAAACATTGCCTTACTTGTTTTCTATGCAATCGATGTCATCATGGACACTCTAGAGGTTGAACAGGCGACTGCTCCAGTCCTGTCGAACCAATCCGACAGGTGTTCCAACTAATTAATCTGGTCTAAAAGAAAGGGAAAAGCAAATTATAAAAAAAACCAGTCAAAAGACTCATATCCAGTTCAACCAGTCCAAATAACCATCCTGACTGATCTTTTGTACCTTTTTTCAGTTCAAAGATCTAAATGGACTGTTTCTAGATCCTGTAACCGGTTCAACCAGTTGGACGAGCCAGATCAAGGCCAGAAAATGAAGAGCTTAATGAGAAACTACGTCACTCCTTTCAAATCATGAAGTTTCAGAAGAAAATGGTACACCAAGCCCACCTTCATACTTCCTCATGCATTCATCCAACATGACCATATGGAATTGGTGTTAGAAATTCTAGCTTCTATTTTGCTACATATATCTCTTCTAGTTTATTTTCATGGATATCTTTTCTCCGTCTCAGTCGTCTCTACCCCAAAAAAGTGATCCCCTAGCTACGGCCAGCTTCCCTATGCTTATGACCAACACAATCAATCCTGACCTTCCTAGAGTATTCGGAATGTTTAGAAGTTAAACAACTAGAAAAGATGCCTAACAGCTCCACCACGCTTTCTTTACCATGCAATACAGATTAGAGTGCAACCCTCAAAAGCCATTGGCTCAAACTAGCAAATACAGATCCCAATATCAATACCTCAACTAAGGAAGACTTTTCACCATAAATGGTTTGGTGCAAATAAATAATCACTCATTAGAAAGCGAATTTATCATGTGTTTTTTTATTTTATTTTTTAGAATGTTAACCAATTTATCAAGTGTTATTATCTAATAGAAGTACTGACACAAGATCCCATCATAGGTCCTCCACCCACCATTCTATGAACAATTCATAACCAGTATTTTAGCTTTCTCAAGAACTGCACTGGGTAATCACAGAGTTCCTGAAATGATTTAGAGGATATCCAAAAACCATTTGGCTCTGAATCAATATCAGGAGAATTTCTCAGGGAAAGTACCCTGAGCACAAATTCTAAGGCTTACAGTTGTTACAAGTTTAATTAAAAGAATCAATGCATAATAAGATTTTGATTCCAATCATATAAAAAGGACAACTAATGGAAGATGCATACATATATAGATAGATTCGCATAGAGCAAACCTTAAACAAACCATACTGTACATCAAAAGCTGCTCTAGTGATGTTCTCCATGAAGTCCTTGAAAATCCCACCACCATCAATACCAGCCTCTTCAACTCCAAGTTCATTAACAAACGTAACTCGAATCTGAAAACAAAAATCAAAACCATGCATGTACAATAATCACAATTTTCCTTGAATATCATGCGTTCAGCTATGAAGCGAATGGTAATTTTACACAACAAAAAACTAATAATTATATGAACGAAACAAGTGATACCATTAAAGTTTACTTGAAAACATTATGAAATAATACCATTCCCTTGAGATCCTCTGCTGACAATAGGCTTAATTTACTGAAACCATCTTCGACAATGTGATCACGCCGTATTGTGAAATTGTGACGGGGAAAAGGATGTGGACTGCTACTCTGACGTGCAGTGGCTAATTGTTTCTGAACAAATAAAAGGTCAAAACAACTATAAGTGCAAGTATAATGTGGGATGGCAATGTGAAGAGGTAGATAAATTTTCCTCGTGAAATAATGTTACTGGGCCCCATGCCCCTAGCAAGAGACATTCCATCCCATTAACAAACTTCAAGCAGTATCATCCAAACATAACAAATCCTTAAATGAAGAGATAAACACTTACAGTGTAAATTTGAACCCTGCTTGTAAATGGCACCAAAAAGGGTGCTTGTTTCAGTAGGTCACGAGCTCTAGTATTTTTATTTATTGCCTGGAAACAGTAAATATCAAATGTCAGGTCAAAACTTTATGGTGTAATGCATACTAGAATAAGTTACCTGGGAAACAAATAACTCATCAGCTGCTTCACGAGCATGAAAGTCGTTTGGTGATGTAAATTGTCGCCTGTTATTCCAATCTTGCAGCTGGAAGCAGTGATGTATGTTACATGTGCAAGAATGTAACAGAAATTTGAAGGATACCTTGAGAACAAAGAGCATGAAAACCAGAAGCCTATACTGACTACTGTACTTATATTCCATTTTGCAAAATGGAAAATTGTCAACAATAAAAAGCCCAAACCAAATGTATAAATAGAAAACACATAAGCCCAAAATGTTTGGGAGGTAATCATACGTTATGAAGGAATCAAGCACCAGAGTGTAGGTGACTGTTCAGTGGTGTATATAATAGAACCAGTTCTGAAAATCAACAAAGTTTCTAATGTTTTATGCGAATGAACAAATATGAAATCCTTGAGTTTCTGCTGCTAGCTTCTTAAGGAACCTGGGTATGCTAATACGACTAACTAAAAGCAGTTGCAGTCTTAGACAAACTAGATAACATGCAATAACGCACAAACCCATTTTACAATTTCAGATAGCATTCTCTGAGGTTGCTGCATTCAAGAGTTCAGAAATAAAGCTCAATACTAACAAACATTATAAAATTAGAATTACATCCTAAATCGAAAAAATCATACATCTATGTGATCACATATATAATTGTTCACTTGAACCGGGAATCCCAATTACCTGTGCCAAGAGCTCAGAAGTTCCACCGCTAACTTTGTGTTGAATGAACTGAACAGAGAGTCTTCTCAGATTGGAGATATTCTTTGCTGCTTTCAGTAAGGATGGCAGCTTTCCAGGACTGACCCATAGAAGCTGCCATAAAGCCTGGAAAAGAGAATATATCTTTAAATAACTATACTAGCTACTGTGTTGGTATTCAGATATCTTCAAACCATATGTCATAATGCCACACGACATTGAACTGTACAATCATCAAGTAAATTTACACTTTCAAAAAAAAGAAACCAAACAAGAGCCAAAAAAGCTGTGGATGCACTTGCAGTTCAGATAATTAGAGCATAAAACTTTGATGAGAATCATTATAAGTTTTATACAGAATGAGAAAATATAGAGAGGTGCCATTCTGTACAGTTGTGAATGAATAGCCTATGAATTTCTACACACATAACTAAAACATTAAAATCAGTATAATACTAACCTCTTTTAAGAAAGTAATCAGGACTCTGATATCTTGTAAAGAGAGTGGCCTTTCCTGCTCATAAAACTCTTCATTATCAATGATCATGAGCATGTGCCTGTTTCACCAAAAAAGACTTGGAAAGTTATTCAGAACTTATAAGATCACCCTAAAGACCTATAATTCAAATAACTTGTCAAATTTCTGTTGGAAACAAGCAAGATTAACATGAAAAGTACATTAAAAATAGGAAGGAAAAGAAAAAGAAAAAGAAAGAAAACAAAGAGAGCTAAATCATCACTTCTGCTTAATCCAATGACCAGTGATGTACTACCTAATGGAAATGCCTACCGAACACAACCCACCCTTTTACTGGGCTTGGGATGGATTAAGGGAATGTTTAAGGTCCTCACCCCTCTTAGACCAGAAAATGATAATCTGTTTCAAGAAAAAAAAAAATGGTTCAAGCACATACTGAAAAAAGCAACAAGGCCCAACCTGTATACAGGACAGAACACAGAGAGAGGAAGCAACCAGCCAGGGGCATCACCAGGTGAGCATGTCAGTAATTCTGATAAAGATGGCCATTTTTGGTTCTCGTGACAACATTTTATAAATTTCCAAAGTAGAGGAACAAGCTCGGTAGTGTAAGCTAGCCCAGTCATAATACGCTCGAGAGGTAAAATAGTGAAAATCATATGCAGGAATGCACAGACGGCACCAATAGCACGTATCTCAGCATCATTTTGCCCATCTGCTTTACGGTTTGGTGTATCTCTGAATAAAACAGATACCTGCCCAGGGTAAACAGTTTCAATTACAGGGAAAAGCGTGCAAGGAAGAAGAAATTACCAACGCATGTCATGAATGATACATCAAATTATCAACTAATAATGAGAAGAATAACGAAGTGAATCCATAGCATACCATGTTTTTAAGAAAGCTAGAATCGATTGAATCAAAAATCTGCTTTTCCAAATTTTTGCTTAAGAGTGCTTTTGAATGTTCCCCATCCTCATCCATAATATCATCATTCTCGGTTGAATCTATAGAGCAAGATGGCAAAAAAGAGTAGAAGTTAGAGCAATCAATTAAAGGCATACAGTACTACAATAAACAAGTCTCATGGCTCCACTCTGTACGTAGATTGATACCCAGGGTACAGTTTGGATGTATCCAAATATGCTAAGTTTTTGAATGGTGAGTGAATAAAAGTTTCCGAAGGGTCTATATGTGTTTCAACGTTGTGACGTTATTCTGATAAAAATTCAAAAAGTTATCAATCCTATGCCAAAATTGGAATATACAAAATTTCTAGTTGGACTCAAATTTTTTGCTCACTGTGTTCTTTGGGTGTCTACTTATCGGACGCTACTCTCTAGAAGCCCTTCCTTGCCCAGCGGCCCCCAACACCTCTCCCCTGCCCCTGCTACTCTGAAAAATATCAAAAGCCCTCTTTCAACTTTTGGGCATCTTTTCACTGGAAAATAGGCCCAAGGTTCTTGTACCTCTGCAAACCAGGGCTTTGTGGAATCTAGAGAGAGATGAGAAGTAAGGCTGTTTCCAATTTTGTTCTCAATCCTGAATCCTTTGCTTGCCCTGGTATAAATTCGGGAATGCAGCTATAATGTTTCCAAGTAAAGGGAACTTTCCTTTCCATTATTCTTTTATGGGGCCAATGAGATGTTCGACCTAAAACAGTTCATGGTTCAATGGAGGATCGCATATTGAACAAGGTTTTAGGTTTTTGTGTTTTCCTCCAACAAAATCAGAAATTGAGGTGTTCTAATATCCCTCAATGGAATTACAAATTAAGGCTTTCATTTTCTACATTTAGCAGCTGCAGATTTGTGTATTTCTTTGTCTCGACCAAACCAGGAATTGTTTTTTCTTTTAATTTTCTGTTTCACTTTCCTCTGCAAATGGGAATAGGGCTGGTGGGTTTGATCATGCCCCCTTTGCCACCCAGTGAAACTCCAAAGAGAAAATAGACAGACCGCCTCCCTGGTATTTCTTAGGTGAGAAAAATGGGAAAGCATGCCACGTCCTTTTTAGAGGGAGAAAAAAGATTACTACTCTGCTCTCTTCCTACAGCCAAACGGTTCATAGAATCAATAAAATAAAGTAGCAATATTTTTAAGTTCAGTGTGAGAGAATTTAAAAGTTTTTTTAGGGAGAAATTTTTTTAATCATGCATCCAAACCAGCCCTAGGCTTTGCCAAGTTAGTCACTTGTAAACTTGACAACAGATTCCTGAATAAACATAGAAAATTTCAGTCGCGATTGGCTTCACCTAGGAGGTGAATAATGACCAGCATTAAATGTGACTGAAGGTAAAACATGTTTCTCTTTAGTGAGGTTAAACAATTAACCAAAAGATATTCCATTCCCATAGGGAGTAGAATGCCCATTTACTCCCTACATAAAACCCCACATAGAATTAATTTTAGGAACCCAAATTTTACGGTTGCAACCTCTTCAACCATAAAAGATTAACCTCAATAAAAAATCTATCCTAATTGTACTCTCTATTCACTTGAAAAAAATAATGTCTCGAGATTGAATAGAGACCATCCAATTTTTAGATGATGAGATTCAAGTGTTAGAAAACTTAAATTTCAATTTTTCTTTTTTGAAGAATAATCGTCTACTGATTCTTACATGGTTCTGAAAATCAAGTAGGTCTTTTGACCAAAGGTGTAGAAGTAAAATATGCTCCCGAGTGAGAATAGTATACATGCTCAGTGCTCAAGAAATTAAGGGCCACATTTGCAGTGTTTTTCAAACGTGTAGGGCTGAGAAATGGACATAGACAAACACATTGCAGAATAGTTCCCACATTGGTGTGTTGTGAAACTAGAATTAAATGCATTTAGTGACCATAGCAAACAGTGCATTCAATAATATGAATCAAATCATTTTCCAGAGGCAGTAGCTTTGAGAGATGATTTATTGTCAACTCAAAATATCAATACTCGCTTAACTTATACTCAACATTGTTCCTTTCATGCTGCGACAACACATACCAACACCAAATCTCATGTCAACACTTCCCACACCCTTCACAGCACATCATTATTATCTGAGCCTTATCCCAACTATTTGGAAATAGGTTCAGGATTCATGACAAGATTTGGCGTTTTACGCTGGCGCCTACCTAACACAACCCTCTCCTTTACCCGGTCTTAGGACTGGCATGACGAGCTTGGAGCCGGCCAAGGTCGGAATTTCCCTTCACAGCACATGGTCCTAAAAAATGTGAAGGATAAAAGATCAATAAAAGAAGTCCCAAACATAATACTTCCTGATGAGATGTAAGACTCGGATGTAATACTTCCCAACAATGTTTTAAAAAACGGATCAATGACCTACATCGGCCACCCCAAAAACCTTGTCGGATCGGTAAATCAGCGATCTGGATCAAAGAATCGGCCAGATTGGCGGTCTTGGCCTAAACAGAATTTCAATAAATCACTATAATTTCTTAAAAATCTAGTTTTTTAGATTTTTTTTAAAAATAGTGGAACCTGTTTCATTATTCTATATAACAACTTAATACAATTTAACATTATATTAAATTTTTATTGCAATATAAAATAAGTTATTATAATAACAAATTAGCAATAAGTTATTTGTTAATATTTGTAAAAGTTATAAATACATTAATTTAAAATTACAATCTATAGTTTGAGCTTGGACACTAACTTCTTCTTTTGTGGAAAATAATTATATCAAACTTGAAAATAATGAATTGATGGGATTACAAGAGAAAAGAAACAAAAAATTCAGTTGAAATCTTGATAAATAAAACTTGGGTAATAAGGCCAACAGGAAACAAAAAATTCAGTCGAAATCTTGATAAATAAAACTTGGGTAATAAGGCCAAGAGACACGTTATCTTGGTTCTTAATTTAGAATTGAAGTATTAATAAAATTTCAGTCGAAATCTTGATAAATAAACCTTGGGTAATAAGACCAAGAAAGAGACACATTATCTTGGTTCTTAATTTAGAATCGAAGTATTAATAAACAAAGAAAACTATATTTTAATGAGTAGAAATATGAGGACCCATTGGCTGAAATTTCAAACGAGGTTCATAACAATAACGTGAGTAATGAAACTTAACAATAAATGAACCGGAGATAGAGAGCTACACTATTGCACTTAGCGCGAGCTACCAAGAAAAAAGTTCCACATCAGGGAACTTATGAAGGCAAAGGCTTTATAAAAGCCTTAGCCGTGCGTAGGAGAGTGAGCATTAGCCATGTGTGCAAGTGCAAGTTGCTTAGCTCATAAAAGGTTGGGACATGTGGCATGTGTTTGGTGTTTGAACGCACTAATTACTTTCAAAAAGAGGTCGGGTGAGCCACCCTTGTTTTTTTTACAAACCAATTATAATTACACAATTTCCAAAGAAAAAAAAGAAAAAAAGTTCTTTGTTTAAACTGAATCTGTCAAACAGGTTACTAATAAGACCGGCCGGCTCTATCAGAGAGCCAGCCGTTTCAAGAGAGGAGTTGTTTGGATCCCAATATATTGAGGGATACGGAATGGTGTGAACAATTCCCGATCCGGATTGAACGATTCCAATCCGAATCATCGAATTTTTAAACCTTGCTTCCTAATGTGATGCCACTTCCCAAACAGAACACATGTGCCCATACTCCAAATCTATTTTCAGAAACCATATATGACTGTCCATATCACTCTAGGCAATACTTCCTTGGAAACACTGGAGACTTCAATATAATAGTTGCAAGATCTGTTCCTAAAGGTTCCAAAGACACTGTCAAAAGTTTCAAAAGAGATGGTGATACCTCAGAGTTAGTTCCAGAAGTTCACTAGCCCTATTCCAAAGTGAAACAATATCTCTAAGAAGGTCGAACAAGCCATTCATTGGATGTATTGACATGGGCGCCTGACACTTCACACCAGTCTCAAAAACTTTGCCAGGAACAGAGAGAAGTATATACACAGGTTGCCGTATAGGCAAAGTAATATGGTCTGCCTAGAAGGATTACATCAACATGTCTCAAACACATCTGGCTGTGTTCCTAACCATGCAACACTTCCCGAAACTATGAACTCCAGAAAGACGTGTATGAAACACCTTTTAGAGAAATGGAACACCATAATGTCTTTGTTTACAGGACTCCCTAAGAAAAACAACAACGACCTGAGAATTTGAAAACTGAAGCAAATCTCTGAAGGCTGATTCATATGATGATAATGATATTGATGAAAACTGATAGCTTTGGTAAGCTTGCCATGGACATGAGAATGGGAACAGAACAATTCCACAGTATTCAGTTAGAATTAGCGTAAGACAGAGGTATCCAAACAAGCAACACCATGACCATCAAATCAATGTGCTGTAGCATATATTAATGACTGCATTAACACAGCATGCCACTTAACTCTTTTTATTGAAATACATGACTAATGCATCGGAGAAGACACCAAATTCTCAAAGCGAATACGACGAAAGAAAATAGTAATAGCATTAATACAATAGTAATCAGAACATAAAATGCCCAATCAACTCAATGCTTACAATGGGAACCATAGCAATAGACAGATTCTATATGTGTTAGCACTCAAACAGATTATTTTAATCAAGGTTTGTTGCTTATATAAAAGAATGACCACAGGTAACCCTCAAAAGTAATAGGTAAATTTGTAGAATGAGATTCTACAATATGTAAAATATTTTCTTTAATTTCCCTAGTAAAACCTTGTCCATTAATGAACAAAAACATCACAGTATTTGTTTCAAAATCTCTCCAAAACATTCATGAACCACCAGGCAAAAAAATCAAAGGGCTCCTTTGTATCAATTATATGATATATACTCCATTCTTACAAAGTTATAAAACAAAATAGCAGATCCAAGACACGTAGCATGTAGTTGAATCTGCATATAAGCCCTCAAACATATTTCCATGTAAACAGTATGAAATATACTCCATTCTTACAAAGTTATAAAACAAAATAGCAGATCCATGACAGGTCTTACAAAGTTATAAAACCAAATAGCAGATCCAAGACAGGTAACATGTAGTTGAATATTCAGATATGCCCCCAAACATATTTCCATGTAAACAATATGAAGAGAAGAAAAATAAATTACTAAGTAGAACACGGAATAGCATACCAGACAAAAGCAGAATAGTATTTAATTTCTGGCAAAGCACAAGGTAGTCGTATCAATGTTTAGCATCATGATCGTTCATTGAAAATAAAAAACTTCACATAAAATGAAATAGCCAACTTTACAAGAATATCATAATATCCGATGCCGGAATACTTACAAATTGACTTCCATAGCCCTATTGGATGGTTATAAATATATGTAAATTTCAAAATTCAGTTACAGCTGTGTCCCAAGCAGTAACAATCAAAGATCATAATTTCATAAAAAGTTCTGACAGGCGAAAGATGAATCAAAAACACGAGCCAATTAAAGCATACCTTTGGGAGTTCCATTGGATAATAACGATGGTGGCAATGCATCCAGCAGAAATGCTGCAACAACTGAGAAGTCCACAGCCTGGTACAAATAAAAGGAAACCATAAAAGCTCAATCTCATTTTAAATAACCTATGAGTAAGCTGAGAACCGCTATTCATTCTAACACAGTCTGACAAGCATAGTTACAAGAAGCGTATACTTGCTTAGATGCACAAGGAGATATTAAATAACAACATACAACAATTCCATATTGAGGAAAATGCATCGTCCATACTGCTGATCAAAGAAAAATAATAAGTGTCAAGCTTGGGTAAATGTCCACCAGGACGTTGCTCAAAATCAAAAGCAGATAGTACTAAATCACCTCACAGTGACATGAACCAAAGAATTCTTTTCAAGAAAACAAATCATATTAATAAATACAATATATCATTGAACAATCGAAGCTCGAATCCACCAAAATCCTATATGGTAGTAACTTCTAAAACCACACATATCCAACAATCACAACTTCATTTGCTAAGATGGACATTAGTATTCCTTCTCAATAAGGCTGTAAAACAAGTGAAAGAAATGATGGGAGCAACATGTTGGCTGGTCAAATAGGGGCCCAGGTCGGGGCAAAGCCAACCCCAAATTTTGGTATTCAGTGGGTCACAAAAGCTACACATGAAAGTTCTAGGAACCATTCCTCACTTCTAAGGAAGGACAGTGAGTTGTACGATGAACATTTACAAACAACCAGGTTGAAAACCACCAATAGCAGTCATATAACGATGATGATGAGGAAGAGATCACATGCGAGAGGTGTCTGAAGGGCACATAGATAACAATAACTTCCTTCAACAGGGAGGGAGAGTGCATATGTGCAAATCAAAGGAAAGGGGACGAGTCATCAAACACAGCAAGCAGATTAAGACAAGTGAGAAGCATGCGCACATATTGCAATTCATAAGCACATTTCACGGTAATAGAAGACATCATCAAGGCCTGAAAAATCATATCATCACACCCTTTGACAGTCCCCCTTATCAAAAAAAGTGTCAAAAGTCTCTATATATACTAAAAATGGAGTAGAGTCATCTAGAGGACACAACCTTGTCATATGCATACTTGTACCACAAAGATATTATGGAAAAATAAAAGAAATCAGTGTCCAGAACCTCGTCAAAGTTGACTATGACTCAGGCCAGTAGCTCGGTCTCAGCAGCCTGCCGAGACCAGAATGGGGTACGTAAGTGTACCATGTACAGTACTCAGGCATGCACTGTAGAGATTCGCCTAATTACAATAAAACTCGGGTATGACTCGCCCGACGTTTACAGTACTCAAGCGAGTCGTTAAAGCACTTGCCCGAATTTTGTACATCTCTCAGTTTGAAAGGGGGGGAATCCATGCCCCTTCTTTCCTTCATTTTCTTCAATTCAATGCCCTAGGGCATGCTTTGAGCCCAAGTTTAGTCTTTAGCATGATTTTGCCCTGATTATCTATTAGAAACATTAGATTTGAGAAAAAAAAGCACAAGATTCGACATGTTTTTGAGATCGAAAAGGGTTTGCCAGATTTTGAACATTTGTGATTTCTCACAATTTTTGTTTGATCTTTGATGAAATTTGAGCCCTAAGCCTATTTTTGGATTCGTCATCAAACCATATGTTCTTTTTTCACAAAAAAAAAAAAGGATTTAGGATATTTGAAGTTTGATTTACTATTCATCCTAATTTTTCAAGAACTCGGATCCCCTATATCCAAATCAATATTCAAAAACAAAACTTGGTCTCAGTAATCCATAGGGTGTTGAGTCCGAGTCGTCTGTACTGACTCGTCAGAGTTTGTTCGAGTTATAATACTTAAATGTAGGAACCGGCCGAGCTTTAATACACAGATCCGAAACCAAAACCGAAACCAAAAACTAGTTTAAAGATTTTAACAAGGACTGAGAGGTGTCAATTTGCACTAAGTGCAAAGATTAGGGACCCGCATCATAATTTTGGATCAATTTCAATTTTTAATTTAAACACATTTTATTTACTTTTTACTAGTATCACTCAATCTAGTAACATTTATGTTATTGTTGAATTTTATCAAAAAATGAGTAAGATTCTATTTTTAAAATTTGCTTGTAGACAGAGACGTTTTTCAAATCTTCATTAAAACTATTTGGTAATTTCTATAAATAACATCAACTTGTTATCATTGTCCATGTTTCACAAACTTTTCATGTTGTTCACCATTTTTTTCATTTCTACTATTTCTTATTATTTTTAGGATCTTTTATTTTTTGGGATTTTTCCCCCTCTTTTGGGCTTTCTTCTAGTCTTTACCATGGCTTGGACATGAATTGGGTAAGTCTTGAGCCGTGTTTATGACATAGCAAGAAATCATAGAGAGTTAAAGTGTATCGAGATACCTAAATTATTTGTATTTACCTATGACCATAGCAGAGATCAATCCAAAGTGAGTGGACGGTTAGAAACACTAAGGTGTGGGTTCAGCACCTTGCATTGGAGGTTCTCCTCAAATTTCTTGCATAGGGGTCCTCATGCCATCACATCACCTTGTATATACTAGTGCACAGCACTATCAAAGGATTAGAAAGCTTCTTCAGATGAGCAACTCCCCACATGAAAACCAAGTGAAGAGATAAATGAGGAAGTCTAGCAAGATGAGGCTGGTGTGAATGCTTATGTATTGCGGCATAAAGGAGAAAGAGAAACAGGCCGTCAGCTGCAAGATCTTCCTTCCGTTGTGAGATCCTCTTGTGTCATGGATTGGGAAGGCAAAGGTATTCTACCCTTATGGTGTGAAGAAGCCAGGTTCAAATAAGAGGGATTGTCAATTCCCAGCAAAATGTGAAGGGCAAGATTTCCACATTTGGACACCAATGGAACCATGCATATAAGAAGAGACATTCAAGGGCCCATACTTCACAGTCACTATGCTACCTCAGCTTGGAGATGGCTTTCAAGGCTACTAGCCACTTAATATCCACTACATTGAGCAGTCAAACTATACACACCATCTATTTATTCATTCCAACCCATGATTTTTTTTGGGTAAGTATTCTAACCCATGATTTGCCTGACAAACCTTTCAGATTTTGCAAAATAAAGTATAGCTTAATTTTATCATCCACCAAAGGAGACACATCAGCCCACCACATAACACAATGGCAAGTGCCTTTCGTTTTTACATAAATACGCAGCTACACTTCAGCAGTAACATCTTCAAATAATGGAAAGATTAAATCAGTTACACTTCTCACCACTTGAAATTCACAGTTCGGTTGAGACAAAACTATTCCAGCAGCTTCTAGCAAATTACCAAGAAGGCAAGCATAGCCTGGAAACCCAGGTGCACCATCTGGAGGAAGATAATTAACATGACCAGGTAAAAACAATGCCATTTCATGCACATATATTTTGCTCAGGCCCTGAGTTGCAAACACCTGCAATTACACAAACACAGGTGACAACAGTTGAAATCATTGACACATAGAAGAAGACAGACTCAGATACAACTAGAATCAAATACGGGACTCATTAACAAGGTATAAAATCGACAGTTACAATCACTATGGATTGTGGATGAAGGACCTAAGATGCTTATAGAAATGGCAAGTACGACTCAACATTTTAGAGAAAGCAGGCTACTGGAACACATGTACAACATAAAAATACACAGAATGAAAAGCACGATCAACCAAAACAATCAAATTTAATGTTTTCTTGTCCATTAATATCACTGTGGTTGTAGAACAAAATTCATTTTTGAAAAACACTAAACAAGTAGCCGACACACACAGCACAACTTTGCTGGTGAGATGCCAATGGGTCATTACAAGTTAGTTGTATCAACATTTGAGATAGCATTCCTTTGAGGTGTTTGAATAACATAGCCCAACCAATGAAGTATATGATAAATATAAGAGCTTTCTTCTATGCTTTTTGGTGGATAATCTAAGAATTAGTAGTCATTATTATTTGGGTAATAAACTTGATTCCCAACTTCCACATATGTAATTACTCCATAAAAAGGTTGCAGTTCATGAAAAATACATACCTTCATAAAACACGGAAAAAGCTTCCACAGGAGTGGAATGGTAAGGATTTGTACAGGGAAACTCCACCTTGGATCAATTTTTGGACAAACGCACCGTGGTTGAGCAACATGAGAAGAAATATGTATAAGAGCACGCTCCAAGGAAGAAATACTTGCAGAATCATATCCTTTTTCTGCACATTGCTGCACAAGGCATCAACTTTAGAGAATTTTAATGGGCAAACTTCTAAGCAACCTAACTTAAAGCATGTACCAGAAATGAACAGTAATAGAACATTGCCTCCTCAAATGAGGGGGGAAAAACCAATTAAAAACAACAAACTCAAGCATGTTCTCCAAATGAACAATAACAGCACACATTCAGGACCAGGAGTCCATAGTGTGCAATGACAAGAGTTCACATAGATTGTACAACCATTCTAGTTACATCCATAATTTTTGGTTGATTAATAACCATAGGAAAAAATGAATCAGAATCATAGGGCAATTCATACTCAGTAGCACTATTTTACATGAGCACAAATGGAGTCATAGCTAACTTACAAAATGATAAAGGAAAGCTTTACAGAAAATATCAAGCACCATGATGCTTTACAACTTGAAAATGGCTTTAATTAATGTAGTAAATTAAGGTTAACATTATCAAAAAAAAAAAATGAAGTAAATTCACTCAGCTTGCATTCTCCAATAAATGCAGTTTTTCCATACTAGAATACAATAAGAGGGACATGAATACATTTCCATTCTCTGAATCATGGATCTTGGGAATAACCTTACCTACTGACATGGTTCATGGAACTAAGGTTTGATTAGGGAAGTTCTCCTCGGTTCCTGACCTCACACACAAAGAGTGAACATTGATGAAGACATTCCATCAGAACATTGTATTTTAATTCTAACCATTTGACTCAAGCGTTCTTTTTTAATCTTCTCCTAGTCCTTCAATGTGCCCACTCCTAAACTCACAAAGTAGCAACATATAACTAAAACCCTCATGTTATGGGTGGAGAGCCAACTTTTTCTATTATTTGCCATAGATGAGCAGCTGATGCATTCATCAAAACAAAGTAGACCGAGAATGTGACAATATGAATCCTAGTGAGCAGGCTCTAAAAGTAAAAATATTAAGAGAAGGTGAAGAGGTGGGTTTCCACAAGAAGAAAGTTTCCTAGAGTACAACTTAGAATAAAATGCATGTTACACTATACGAGACATAGCCATGAAATTTACAATTTGAGGGGTTGCATTGCCTTTCCTATTTTCAGCCTAGGTGTGGAGCCATTCAATGACACCCTTTGCTAAACTGAAACAATTTTTTTGTAACACAAATGGCATTTTGAAGAAATTTAACTTCTCATCCTAAATGTGACAACTAATCTTTCATGATACATGAGTCTAAATTTTGTGGAAAACTACAGACAGGGTCCAAGGTTAAGCAGAAACTTTTGGAGAACTTATGGCTCCCAAAGATTAGCTTGTATTTGCAAACAAACTGTCTGGCTAGGAGGAGGGCGATCTTTAATTTCTTCTGTTGTACACAAAAGGCATGGGTTGAAATATTTGCTTTCTGGTTTTTGGCTTTCTATAATACAGCACAGGCTTACTTGAATATGAACTCAGTATGCAAAAAGTGATAAGACTTGTTGTAGGAGGGTATTACTGCAAAGAAAAGAATTTTGCAGCTAAGCTAATGTCAACTGACATAACAAATCCTATCAACACTAAAGGATAGCCTAAGAGACACTGGTACTTCTTCATGCTGGTTCAATTCCAACTGGCCATTAAAAATTGGTTGTATAGTGTGGCACACCTTGATCGTGCTTCTCACTTATTGAAATTACGCACCCATGTCACAAGAATCATTGAACCCCTCATTAGACTCAAATTCTAGGTGGCAGTGGGAGTAGAGGGCAGCCTGTGGGAGAATGGAAGTAACAAATTTCTAGGGTAGTTGCCCAGAAAGTGGAAATTGCGAATAACCACACTTGGGATAAGAAGCAAGAATGGTAAGTATGCCTTCATTATAAGGAAAAGGAAATAAGGTTTCACTTATTGATTCGCCACTTGACAGAATTAGTTTTTGTTCAGATTGAACCATGGTTTTAAAAATGCTGATGCGGATTGGATTTTGTAAGTCATTGAGGCGATTCCCTCCCAGAATGGGAAACCAGGCCCATTCACTATCTAAAGCTCATGTTCAAGGACAATCTACATGGAAGGGGGTTAGATTCAAGCAATGTCATTAGATTCGCTTAGTTTCAGCCCTTGGACCCAAGTCTTTGGGTTAAGTGAGCAAGTAAATTCCAGGTATATTTAAAAATATTGATAGCAATTTAAAAAGTGCACCTCATATTCACAATTAGGTAAAAATGTCTCTCCATCACTCACTATCTAAAGGTCATGTTCAAGGACAATCTACATGGAAGGGGGTTACACTCAAGCAATGTCATCAGATTCGCTTAGTTTGGCCCTTGGACGGAAGAGATTCAAAAAAGAATGAATGGCAAGAGGAATGAGATGGAGGAAAGAACAACGTGGAAAAAAAGGATACTCTAAAAAAAAAAAAATGACATTGTCTAACAGAAAGAAAATGATGTAGCACAGCTTAGCCTTGTTTTATCAATCTCCGCCCAAACCGGCTACCCCTGCTCTTGAGCCACATGTGTATGAAATCCAATAGGTGTTGCATTGGTCTCCAATTAGTCAATGGCTTAGGCTTAGTTGTTCACGTATCACTTGCCATCATAGCAAATGTCTCTATAAGTTTAAAAAATTAAGTCGAACTACCTCCACGTTACTCTGAATTTGGGAAAACAGAAACGCCCCAAAATCAATAACTTAAGGGCTAGGTCACATAAAGCTACATATACAAGTGAATTTATTAATCCTTACAGGTTCATATTTTACTCCTAAACTTTAGTATCAGAAAGTGATAAGCAAGGCATCTTTGTTCATAACATCAGGACATTTGAATGGAGTAATGCTTTTTATAAATATTTTGAAGTTATATAGAATGATTGAGGACATACATTCCATGTAGTTAATTCACATAATCACATCAATAGGACCATGAAACCAAAAAATAAAAGAATATTAGGAAGGTGATAGAACCTACAATTGTGAGAATTATGTCTCGTAACAAGCCAAAGGCATTTCTTTTTGAAACATACTCCACAAGTTTACAAACCCATGGGAGCCCAGGTTCAGTTAAAGAAAAAATGGCCTCTAGAAAGATGACTGCAGGTTTGTCATTTGATTCAGGAGGCATCAAAAGTTGGTCCTTCAACCAAGCCCTGTACACACCAAACAAGATTTGCCATGTAAATCAATAACTACCAGCTATAGATAAACAAACAAGCATCCTGAATTATAAAATTACAAGAGTAAAAGATATGGGAAAAGTATATAATGAGACCATTTATCTTTGGTACATGGTAGTCGCAATTAATCTTGACAATTGGATGTGAAATTGGGTGGCTGCATTTATTGCATTGACCAAGTTCAAAGATCAAAAGAAATTTTCTCGAACCCTGTGAGACAGCCAAGAGTTAGATTTCACATCGGATGGTTGTAAGTAATTGTGACCTCCCTGTGCCAAAAGTAAATGGTCTCAATTGTTCCCAAAAGATATTATGTAATTCATGAATAATTACTAGGAATTTGGAGGACCGAAAAATGCATATTAAAAGTGAAGGAAATCATAAAAGACAGTCCAAGATCAACATAAAACGAGCTCGACACCCTCAACAATCAATAAACAGTTGCTCTTCAAGTACAAAATAAACCCACCCAAAGTTAATGAGCAGGTTACCTATTTGGTCAGCCAGTACATGACTGAGGTTCATAATTATCAATGGTGTTCCATGGACACTGACAACTGAGGCTCAAATATCAACAGTGTTCCGCACACAACTATTCAGGTGTCACTGTCTACTACATCCCCCATGATTCAATGAAAATTCCAGAAAGGCCAGCATGTCAACATAAACATTCATATCATATAAATAGATTATATCAGTGTATGTTTAATCAGCTCAGGCCAAGGACTTGGCCTTGGCCTAAGCCGAGTTACTCGGCCAAGTCCACTCGCACTTGCCCGAGTAAAAATCATTCCAAAGAAGTTTAAAAAAAAAAGGAGTAAAACAATAAAAGAGAGGGAGAGGGGAGACTTTGGCCAAGTGACCATGAGAGGGCCCTGGGCATGTGGCCAAAAGGTCTGACCGCGTCTCCCTCAAGTTGGAAATATATCCCAAATAAATTATTTATTTTTTAGAATTGTTTAAGGTTTTGCTTTTTAATTTTTAGTATCCCCAAGTTGGACACCCAACTCAGGACAACTCGGGCTCAGCAAGGGCCCGAGCCCAAGTAACTCGGCCGAGTAGAGACTATTCGGCCAACATTGTGAACACTGGCCTAGACAGCCGCACCACTCATAAGCAACCAGTCCCCCCGGACACCTAGGCACGACCTAGCACATTCTTAAACATTGCTTCAAAACTCTGCAAATGGAGTAGATTGTCACATTGAACTGCAGGTAGGTTGGTTAGGATTCAAAGTTTGGGTGAGCGGTGTGCTGCAGAAGGATAGCCCCCAACAACCAAATCACTGAGCCAAGAGTCCCCAATCTGCCCATGTGCTTCCCCTCCCCCTCTTTTCCCATCAACAAGTTTTGGCTTCCTATGGACCAAAGAGGATCTCTTCTAGAAGGGCATAATATTCCAGCATATCATATTAGCAAATTCCAGAGTTAACACATTGATAAGATGGTTAAAACACACTCAGAGAGCTGTCAGTTCAAAGAGGTATAATAGATAAAGTCAAAGAGGGGATGCTAGAGGTACAAGGCTGAATGTGACATCGAAATTCTACCGGGGAACCTGTAACTTTGTTGATCAGGCAACAGTCAAGTACGTATAAGGTTACCACCACCAACCAGAGCTTTTAAGTTCAACTCAGATAGGAGCTACAAAAGGAATTTGGATCAAGCATGGTCCGGTGAAGTACAACGTGACAGGAAATGCGAATTCAATCAATGCTATGCAGCTTGACTGAAGCCCAGGCTTATTAGTAGCCAACCAGGTATCATGTGTCATGTGTCCTACACAATCATGAATAATGTAATTCACCACTGAAGTGTAGGGTAATCTATGATTGGTTTATTGAATTGTATTATTTCATAACGTTCAGCAATCTGAGCCATGTTATGAGGGAGGATTATGGGAGATAAGTTCGCCAAGCTAAGGATTTATATGGAAGTGCTAGTGTCCTGAGATCCTTAACTACAAGGCAGCCACCATATAGCCAAGGAGCCCCTTCTCAAAGCACCAGTAGCTCAGCAGTCCATGAAAGGGGGAATGAACGTTTAGTGCCATGAAGTGGCTGTATAGGTCAAACGGGATTCACTAAAATATTGACAGTTCAATGGCAGTGCTGATATCAGGGTGTAATCTTGTAGAATCAAAAGTTTCTATTAGTCAGAATAGCAAGAGAGACCTTGTGATCAAGTTGTGATACAATTAATATCCCTAAGGCATTCAAGTATAGGATTGATAGACCACTTGGAGCATCAGATGCAGCAATGCTTTTGGGAAATTGAGCTGAAAACACTTCAGAAAAATGTGAAACCACTTAGGAAGGATTTGAGCATGTAAATTACCTAAAAATCATTTAACACTCAACAAAGGTTTTAAGCTCACCTTGCCACGAAGTTTGTATGCTCATGTCTAGGGCAGTGGAAGAGGGACAAAATACCCGCAATTTTAAGGCTTTTTAAGTATGTTACTAATGGAGATGTGTTTGTTTGCATTCTCCTGCAACTTCAAGGAATGCCCATGCATCTATTCCCAAGATTAACACAAGAACTAATGGAATCAGTAATAAAAATACCGTTCTATCCAGTCCCTTAACCATTTCAAGAAGATAAATCAATGTTGAATAGCACAGTGCCATTAATTTAGATGACAACATGACAAATATTGGTAATGTCATTTCTCTTTCCATCTTACGGAAGTGAATTAGGTCGCAAGAGGTAAATGTCAAACATGATTTCGAAATTTCAATATATTTAGGTAACCAATCAATATCTGGCCTAGTTTACAAAAGATTTATTTGCATCCAATTTGGACAAATTTTGATGAAAATCTTCCACCTGTTTTTTGTTACCTAAAAATTATTTAATGAATACACCATAATGAACAAATTAAGAAAGAAAATTGACATGAGCATTGGACATCTATCTATGATGCTCCATAAAATGTCCAACATGCGCATCATTTTTCATAGATATAAATCCAATATCCAGTATCCTCACTCAAAACCTTTTGTAAATGTTCAGTTCGATTTCAAGTTCACATGATCATATTAGAGAATATGGTTTCGATATAATCAATCATCAACCATTTTCCATACATTATAATTCCAAAAAGATAAAAGTTTTACTTACTCATTAACACAGCTATTAGGTTTTTTTCCCTTTTTTTTCTTTTTTTTTTTTTGAATGTTCACGTGTATTAGATTGTTACAAATCTAAAACCATGAAACACTTACAAACAAAATATTGAATCTATATCATAGTATATATACATACAAGCTACAACCTTGGTACTGGATTATTAAAAGGACTAAAGAAAAATAATGATTCTCACGAACCTATTGTGATGGATAGCTTGTAGGCAAAGAAATGTGAGCCGCTTGACTCTATTCTCCACAATAGCTTGATTCGATGGTAAATCGTCGCCAGCAAAGAGAATCTTGACATTTCCTATTTATCATCACTTCTTGTCAATAAGATGTGCATAATTTCATCAAGGAGATTCATATATTCCCATATAACTAAAAAATTTCTGACACAAATACAATTGAGTTCCCAAAGAACAACAAAGAAGCAGAACCTTGAAAAAACAGAAACTTGATACTTTTCAGGAAAACATATTTAAGAATGGAATAATGATGAGGTGTACAGGGTTCTACAAGCCAAGAAGATCTAAGAAAAGAGCCTTCTTACTGAAGGAAAAGTAACATATCAAATCACTGAACTAAAAGTGGTGCTTTAATAAAATCATTGAAAATCTCTAGCAAATTCGCAAACATTATAATAATACAGCAAAAACTTGATTTTAATTGGTGAAATGTGCTGGAAAATCATTCACCGAATCATCCATCTATCCAAGGAATAATTCATAAAATACAAGCTAATTCAAGACTTGCTACAAACCATTCCTTCATTCTGATAAGGGCCTCTACCATAGTTGTAACAAGCTATATGAGTTATGCACTAGCTCGTAACATACCAAAATTTCAAGATTAGACATTCAGAGAACACCTTGATAAAACTTTTACAGTTGTATTTTTATCACATGATGGATAAATCAAGATTCTAGGATGTAAGCATGGAGCCCTTTACAATCTCTAGAACTCATGTTAGGTGGGAAGGAAGACAGAGAAACTGCAGAAGCCACCTAGCAAAGAAAGCACCAAATTACCTGAAGAAAAGAACAGCATAAAACTAATTTAGAGGGTCGCATTAGGTTCCTCTTATCCACGAACTACTCCTGGAATTGGTTGCAATGAAAAACTAGATCATTTCCTTTCTGAGTGGCTTTTTTACCATAAGAAAGGTTGATAGAATCAGAACAGCCAACAATGAATGAGCAATGAGCTTTCTAGGCAGTGAAGGATAATAAGAGAATCACAAGTCTTGGGTCTACTATTACCAGGAGGAGGCATGATTGATAGTGGAAAATGAGGTGGGTAAGTGGAACATTACATTATAGGAGGCAAAATCAAGTCCAAGTTTGAATATTTTGTCTAATTCTATGCTGCTGAGAATATGGTGAAGCCCACAATTAATATCTTTGGCATTCTAAAGGCCCTCAGGTGGACTAATTGGACCATGGAGGTATCGAAGGATTCTTTCAATCTAATAAATAGTAGGATAGGATGACTTATAATATCCAGCCAGGATTTTTGGCACGAAATCAGGCTTAGGATTATGCATGTCTTCTCCATGTTACTAACGATTGACTAACAGTCATAAGAGGTTAACATAAATCTATAGCTTTCACCTGAAGATGGTTTGACTACTGATACTAGAGTGCATACCTGTCCTTTTGGTCGGATTGGTTTACAAGATCAGTATTAAAGACTCATGGAGGACGTCCACAATCTTGTGATTTCAAAGCAAGCTAGCTTTGCAAAGACAAGGCAAACTATCAAACAAGAACATAAATTTGGTGGCATGTTCTGATAAAGCTCTGGACATCTGCATCAATAGTAGCGTCCATTTGACTGATACATGTGTCATGTAGCCACTTTCCCTCATGAAATGTTTGCAATTCCAACATACTATCATTTAATATTGGGTCGTAACCCTGCGCTGGTCCCGCCTACGCAGGGTCCCGGGCGGGGTGAGCCGGAAACGGTCCTAACCTTTGGCTTTTTATGCACAAAGTGGCCGCTCTCAGGACTTGAACCCGTGCTCTTGTGCTGGCTACCCAGAGTTTACGCATAGACATACCATCATTTAATATATTTGTGAGAAATCCATCCAGAGTTTACGAGTAGACAGCTGTACATTCATTGCCAAGAAAGACATAATATGTCCAAAATATTTTGGGTTATGAGTTAAGAAAAAAGGGAGGGAAGATAGATACAAATGCCTATTTTTTGTGGGAAAGGAGAAGCTCACTTCAGTTAGTGAGTAAGTGAGTGAGTGAGAGATAGAGAGAATGAAGATTGTGATGGAATTTCAGAAGTTCAAGGAAATCAGATCATTTTCGATGAAATATACAGACAGAGAGAGAGAGAGAGAGAGAAAACATGGAAAAAAGCAGGCTTATCAAATTTAAAAGATTGACAACTACTACCAAAAAATGTCTATGATAGGACGTCTAGAAGGTAGTCAGCTCTAACTAGCAAGGCTTGAATGTCCTTTCCTGCACCACCTCTGCACATATTCCAAATTTTGACAAAATGTGCACAGAAACAAGCATTGCTTATCAGTTAGATCAGATGCATTTACAAAAAATTTAAATTCCTTCCCAGACCTCTTCATATTGGCTAGGAAAGAGAATGTTTTGGTGCTTCAAATGAATCTAGGAAGTCTTCTGTCCTCGTTTATAATAAAAATAAAATAAAAATTAATAACTAATAAAAAATAAAAAGGTTTTCTCAAGTAAGAAAATACAAGAAAAAATTAGACAAACGCCACCAATGATGTTGCACCATACCTAAAAAACCACAACACCCATAAAATAAGGGATTCAATAAACTACATAAAATTTCCACAGACAAGTGAGATAAGGGCAACTACACACTTAAAAAAGAAAGGAAGATTAACTTAGAAACATCGTATCCAAATAGCTTAGATGAATATCTTAGTTATAAAGCTTTGGGAAGGACCAAAATCCATTTTTCAGCAAATGGATGACAATGTGCTGGTGGTCAAAGCTCCACTACATGTCCCCCTCCCTTTTGCGCTTGTTTACATTAGAGTGATCACCTAAAAAGATACCAATAAGTGGCATTTTGGATTCTATCTGGAACGGGGTTACCCTTTCTTTCATGTCAATTACACAACTTTCAACTGAGTGCCAGTCCTAATCCATTACCTTAACCTATGCCGATCGCAAATGAATCCTAAAGCCTCCATAACGATTCAAATTGTGATGCTAAAATATCTGCCTAATTCATGCTATGATATGCTAAATTTAATTTCTTAAAATAGTACTCATTTCCTTAAAAATTGGAGCCTTTGAGAAATTAGAACCAACCAAAAAAACTTAAGAAGAAACTAACAAAGAAAAAGGGAACTCAACCACTTCTTCAGATTGTTACAAGATTCCCTTCAGCCAAAGGGCTAAAGTCTAGGACTTTGGGCCCTTGCCAAGTGAAGCTAATTTAAGTTTTACAACATTTGCTTACAAGGTCATTTAGGAAGTCTCACCACTATGGGAGGTCATTCGCAGCACCAGTACGTAAGGTCATTCAAAACCTCCATGTCCAGGGAACAATGTCTCCCTCAAAGGCACACAAATTTGACGAAGGTACTAGGTTTAATGCATACGTGGATAGACATACAACAAAGATATTAAGTGAAGCAACATGAGGAAGATTTTAAATTTATACTAAAGCTTAATCCCTTCCCTGAAAGAGTACACATGTTTCACAAGTCGCATATCCCACATGAATGTGTGCAAGGCCAATGTGCATCCAACTTTATGCACTATCCCATTATCGAGAAAAAACTCGATGTACTATCCTATTATCGAGAAAAAACTTTATGCACTGTCCCTTGGATGGTTTTGATCCTCACGTAAGCATTTAGCACAACCAAAATTTCCTTCATTCATTTCTTGATAGACAATTCACATTGTAACAATTGTGGATAGGAAATGCTGGGCTGCTCCTAGAAATTATGAAGCCAATAAGATGGAGGGGCCAGCATGGACCTATGTTTCATTTATAATCTTTCCCTAGTTCAAGGAGCAAAGCTACTTATGTAGATCAAAGCCTACATCCACGAAGTTCTCCTCCTAGTTATAAATGGAAGTTGGAATAGAAATCTTTTCGATACAGCTGAAGGTCTAGGCCTTGATTGTGGGTTTTGGACTCAAAGGGAAGGAGACTCTTCACACTATTAGACATTTCGTCCTTGTAAATGTCTAATGTCTATGTAATGTTTCTCATTGTAATTTCTCAGGTAAATAAGGATATAAGAGTAAATTGCTCTAAAGCCTCACACTTACATATATCAATGTCTCCACATTAATTGAGTGGAACGACCTAGTGACCCTCTTGTTCACCCTCTCCTCTTTCTTCTCTTCTCTTTCCCTTTAACAAAGCTTTACATGAGATCAAAGCAAGAGGATCCAAGGGTCAAGACCAACATATCCCTAATTGGTGTAAACTTCAATCCTCAATAGCTATTTCTTGATTTCAAATATCTATTTTGAAAAAATATCTATTTTCTCAAAAAAATATATCTATTTTGTGTAGATCTTCAATTTTCTAGTTTGGATTTTATTTTTCTGAAAAAGCCTCGGGTTTTATAAAATAATTTTATATTTTGTATATATTATGCAATAATTAGTTGGGGTTTTTGGTATAGAGTGTTAGGGCATGATTTAGAACAATGTTTTTTCTAATCATTACATTACTGATTTCTATAGGTTTCAACTTTCCAGGAAACTTTGTAATTTTGGACACTAACTTTTCTCAGATATTCAAAAAGGGCTTGATCTAGTTTGATTTATAGCATTTTAATGCTAGACGAAGTAGTTATATGAGGATCAATAGCTAAATCATGCATTTCCATCGAATTATGAATTTTTTTGACAAATACAAGATTTGCCTTAAAAAATTGAAGAAACATTCAATTCTTTTTGGGACTTTTTATTTCTTCTCAATTTCTGTTGCCTTTTAACATAACACAAATTTTGACCCATGTACTTGTATTTTTTATATTTGTTTAATTCCATGGTTTCAAAAACGCTAGGTGGCCCCGAGGCGGCCTGCCTGGCGCCCAGCGGCTAGGCGGGTGCCCAAAACACGGGCACCTTGTAGTTTTTTTTACTTTGGGGTTTTCATATATTGAGGTGTTTTTTTTTCACTTTGGGGGTTAAAAATAAACCCCATAACGTTTTTATACAACTTTGAGGGTCAAAATGACCCCCTTTGCCCTTTTGGGCGATTTCAAAAAACAAAAAAGGCCTTATGGCTTGAGCGCCCGCCCAAGTACATCCGCCCGTGTAGGACCGCCTGGGTCTAGGAGTGCATATTTTTTGTCCAGACCGCCTAGGCGCCAGGCGGACCGTTTTTTAAAACATTGTTTAATTCTATGGATGTTACTATATTTTAGATTGAAATCAATGTGTGGCACTCAAAAACCGGACTACCAGAATTTAGGTGTCTTCATTAGTATCTCCAAACTATAAAAAGTAGTGGTCCTTTTCTTGACAAAACAATATAATCCATTTTTTAAAAGCTCTCTACGATTTTGTTTTTTATGGTCCACACAGCCAAACCAGTAAAAATCCATCTGGATCGGTCCAACCAGCGGTTGATCCACTTTTTTAAACCCTCCGGGTGACCTTTGGATGCCAAAGGGTGAGACTACAAATCCCAAAGTGCGAAAGATCATTTCCACGTTTTGCACCACAAAGTGTTAGAGGTTTCTCCTTTTTCTTCATAGTAAATCACTAACTCTAACATGTTTGTATAAAATTACAAGATATGATAAATGTAGTCTCTAATTCAATATCAACTACTATCAAACAAACAAACAAACGCATGCACACACACACACACACACACACACACATCAGTTAAGATGAAGAACACAAATTCAGATAACCTGTGCCAAAAATTGCCCTTTAAAAACAATTTTCTATTACAACTCACCATCGAATTTAATGAATTGGTGAAGTACTCGACAGGTTTCAGCAAGCCGGATAAAATCATCTCGGTCATGCAAGCTGAAGAAGAAGAGTAACTGCCGCAAAAACTCTGATTCAGGGCCAAAGCAATGCCTGATGTAACAGAATATAAATTCATAAATGTCTCTCAGACAATGTAGGTCTCCATGAACCAAAAGTCAAAGAATATGCAGGATGAGAACTCATAATGCTCAATAAAACAGACAAAATAAGAAACAGATTTTTCCCAAAAGGATTAAGTTACAGGTCAAGACAAACCTGTCTACCTTCTCGCATCTCTCCCCAAACTTAATGCAGAATTGTTCTCGCACCTCCAAGCGTTCTGCTTCAACAGCCTTCCTCCCCCTAAAACATTTCTACAACAAAAATATTCACTCAATATCACAGCTTTGTAAGATATAGCACCAGTCATATACTAAAGAAAGGCACAAATTTTCAAATACAATAAAGCTCGGAAACTAGCTTCCTCCAAGTAATTACTAGAGTCAAGAACCCAGACCTTCTTGTCATAGTAGTAGGGGTTAGACATGGTGGATGAAGAAAAGTATGGGGATTTTGGTGCATACTCACGGCAGGGGAAGATACAGATCAATGCAGCCGAAGAAGAAAGAATCAAAAGAGCTCAAGCCAGATGCCCAACATGATGGCAACAATGGGGCTTGCACATGTTGTGCATATTGATGACATCACAGATGCATTCCAGGAAAAACAACAGTGGTTGGGATTTGATGAAAGGTAAGTGCCGTGGAAAGCAAGAAATATTGCCAGAGGTAACCCCACTGATCTCGCCCAATATCATATGAACCTCAGCGAAATCCAATTCACATGCAAGGGATTAACGAAGGTTCTCAAATGGAATACAAGCAGGTTAGGACATTTCCCTTTAAAAAGGTCCATTACTCCATCCTAAATTTTGTAGCCTCTCATAAACCAGAAATATTGGATATCATTGCAAAAATGTAGGGGGGACCAGCACCAAGTGAAGTTGAATCTGTTTGGGGAAGAGGACCAATAAATGGACAGATAAAACTTAAAAGTGCATTAGGGCATTGGGAGAAATGTGGATTATATGGACCAGACCAAAAAATGAAAATTCAAGGAATACTCCACTCGTCCCCTTCAGCGAGCAACCAAAGGCTTCACATGGGTTGCATACGGTCCCAATCAACCTATGCAGCGCCACACTTTTCGGAAGGAACCCGATGCTATCTCAGAGCTCAATCTACCTTGGGACTAGAGTGGAGAGTTTAACATGCCTTTACTATCCACAACAAAGAATATAGTAGGCCACATCACACCAAGCAAAGAATGATTCTCAGCATCCATCGATGGTAAGCCCTAATAAACATTTCAGTTCGTGGAGCCCAGTTTGTGTGTTCCAACCACAACAGTGATTATCCAATCATATCCAAGCTCAACAATTTCTTTTGTCGCCAATACTGGAATCCCACTTTACCTCAGTCCAATCATATGCCCTCCCAAAACCATATTCCCATCCTTCTGGATACTGACCTACATGTGAGACCAAACCCTTTAGAATTGAACTAATGAGATTGGAGCATAACGAGCTACCCAAACTGATCAGAATTTGGTGGCAACCACTCCCTTTGCAAGGATGGGAGAGTTCAAACTGTGCAAGAAGCTGCAGCAATTGAAAAAGAAGCTCAGAAGCAGGACCAAGGAGTCTTCAGCCAGACCTATGCTAGAAAGACAGCATCCTAATAGGAATCCAAAAGGTAAACCTACTGGTGAAACAGGATCACAGGAACAGCGCGCCTACAGAGTTTGATATACAGTAGACCTCCGAACCCTATTAAAACAGGACACTGCAAGCTGCAACTCAAGAAGCATTATCAGGCTATGCTCGGAGGGTGTGAGTTTAGAAAAACTATCAAAAGAACAGGAAAAATGGCTAGAGAGACCATACAAATATGAAGAAGCGAAGAGAGCAGTAATTAGCCTCAGTAAAGATAGGGCCCCAGGGCCTGATGGAACTCATCTGACTCCTTTGAGGAATACTGGGATCTAGCAGAGGAAATATGTGGAGAATACGGTCACATAATCTCATTGAAGAGGAATGATTTATCAGGGAACAAATACAGCATTTATAACTCCCATTCCATAATTTGAGGGTGCTGAGAAGATAAAGGATTTCAGAACTATTGGCCTAATTCATTGCATCTATAAATAATTGCTAAAATTCTTACTGCTCAGCTAAGAGAGGTCTTGAGTTCGATTATTTCACCACCATAAGGCATGTTTGTCAAAGGGAGATAAATTTTGGCTGCACCTCTAATAACCCAACGAGTGCATAGATGCCCACCAGCAATCAAAGTTAACAAGGATTATGAGCATGGCTTACGACCATGAGGAGGAGGATATCACATATAAATGGAGCTTAAGTGCTACGGAAGAAAATGGAGATTGTGAAAAAAAAATGCATATCTAATACATCCTTCTCAACATTAATCAGTGGCACCCCATGCAGTCAGTTCCTTGGTTCGAGATGGATCATCCCTTTTTATTTACGTTAATTTAAGATCCATTTCATCAAACAATTAGCAGGGTACATAGAAGTGGCATCCTCATGTAGTCAATTCCATGTTTAGGAGAAACTAGAGGGAAAATAAAACTTGATGGTGGAGTGATGAGGTTCAGAAAGGCATTAGCAAAAAACCAATGGTTTAAAAAACGGATCGGTGGCCCGGATCGGGCACCCCAAAAACCCATCCGGATCAGTGAATCGACGTTTCGTACCGAGAACCGGCCAAATTGGTCGAATTTGACCTTAAAAAATTTCAAAAAAATTATTAAAAATCTTTATAAACGTTGTTTTTTAGGAATCCAATAAGAAATGAGGGTACTACATTAATAACTTTTATTTTTTTGCATCAATATACGAATATTGAGATGTTCTTTCCCTGTATGAAGATTTTCATCAAACATTTATTAAAACCTAACTAA